GCGGGGGTGCGCAATCCCCGCGTCGGTGATGTCATCCCCCTCCTCTCATATTCTCAATGGGCCCGCCGCTATCATTGTTTACGTAAACATACATGGCCCATGTTTACGTAAACATCTCGGCGGTTACCCCTGTGACGTCATTCCCCCCGCGCAAATCCCCCCCGCCCACTCCCCCCTCGGAGCTCCTGGGTTAGAACCCGCCTATATCTCCTACTTAAAATGTAGAGTATTTTTAGGAATTCAAATAAATGCTGTACTTATTTTTCTACGCTTTGACACATTTATGTGTCAAATTTACTGGCACATATTGAAAATCTGCAATTTTATGTTTAAACGTTTATTAGTTTTTTTATTTCGTAAATTTAAAACCAAACATATTTTTGAAATTTCCTGACAATTTATTACGAATTACTGAAATTATCGTCTTTACTCTGTTAAAGAGAATCGAGAGAAAAAAATAGAATAAAATCTGAGTAAATCTTATTATTCCCTAATGTTACTATCGATTCAATTTTTATATTAAAAAAAAAGTTATTTTTTCTTGTCATTATTTGACGAAAACGAATTAAATCATTAGAATGCAATACAATTAATTTTTGGTTTTTCATTGTTTTCATAAAATTTATCGTTAATAAGTGATTCATCGTAATCAATTTGTTTTAACTTGAGTGTATGTATGTAAAACACATGTATATATTTCAGTAATTTACTTAGTCTTCTTAAGCCTCATAAAATAAAATAAGTAACGAAAAATGTGAGTCGCATAGTCAATATATAACCATAACTTAATAAATTTTTGTAAAAAAACGATAGTTACATAGTCAGTATACAGGGTGTCTCAAAACTTTTAATTAATATTTTAAGGCGTGAAAGAGAATGAAATTTGAAACTAACAGTTTCTTTAGCAATTTTGGCTCAGACCATTATTTACAGAATTATTTACGAATAAAATTAATCAATTAGATCGCGCTTAGCCGGAGTACGCAGCAGCGTGGCATGCCGTACGGCTCTTCGCGTTTTATACTTGTCTCGATTAAAATTTTATTCTAATTTTTTATATTAATAAATAAGTGAATAAGTCAATAAGGTAGGTAAATAAATAAAAAAATAAATACACACCCATTAAGAAATAAGTAAAAATAATTTACAGTTAGAAATTTATACAATTTCTGATTGTTTGTATTCTTATTTATTATTTACTTATTTCAATAAGGAAAAGCTTAACGGCCAAGAAACGAATAATAATAGATTTATAAATTAATAAATAAATAAATAAAATATCCTTTAATATCAAATCATAAAAACGTCATACTTCAAAGAGTCTTCATCAGTTTATAATTTTAAAAATTTAAAACATTGAAATTCAATAAAAGTATAATATTGATTTGAAGTCGTAAATAAATTAAAAGAATAAGAATTTAAAAAACAGGAACAACATAACAACTTTTACACGTGATATTCTGTTTCCCAAATTGACTATGAATAAAATTAAAAGGATAATGTCTAAAAAGTAAATTATATCGCATTCAAGGGCCTGCGTAAGTCACAATAACATTAAAATTAAAAATCAAGCTCACGTATTGTAATACAATAAGAAAAGATTGAACGACTAAAAAAAGAGCAACAGCAGATTTATAAATAAATAAATAAATAAATAAATATCTTTTAATGTAAAATCATAAAAACGTCTCTTTACAGAGACTTTTTTTATCAGTTATGACTTATCACTTATGACTTATGCAGGCCTTTCTATGCGATATAATAATTTTCCTTTTAGACAATTATTTTAATTTTAATTTTATTAATAGTCAATTTGGAAAACATGAAGTATCACGTTTAAAATTTTTTATGGTGTTCCGATTTTTCTTTTTCTTATTCTTTAAATTCTTTTCACACATTTATTTATGACTTTAAATCAATACTACACTTTTATTTAATTTCAATGTTTTAAATAATTTATCTTATAACTGATAAAGACTTTTTGAAGTACGAAACGTTTTTATGATTTCACATTAAAAGGTATATTTTATTCATTTATTTATTTATTAATCTATTATTGCTCGTTTCTTAGCCGTTAAACTTTTCGTATTAAAATAAATCAATAATAAATAAGAATAAAAACAATGAGAATTCGTATTAATATGTAACTGTAATTTATTCTTTCTTATTTATTTGTGTGTTTATTTATTTATTTATTTACCTATGTTATTGATTTATTTATTTACTTATTAATATAAAAAATTGGAATAAATTTTTAATCCAGAGAAGTAATCGCGAAGAGCTGCACGGTATGCCACGCTCCTGTGTACTCTGGCTAACGCGATCTGATTGATGAACTTGATTCGTAAATAATGGTCAAAATTGCTAAAGGATCTTTTAGTTCCAAATTTCATTTTCTTTTACACCTTGATATTAATTAATATAATATTAATGAAGAGTTTTGAAACACCCTGTATACGGAAAAGTAATGAAATAATAGATATTAAAAAATAGTAATTAAAGTCAATGTAATTATAGTCGTAGTCAACATTTATTTTGGAGCAGTCTGGAGTAAAGACGATAATTTCAGTAG